ATTGCGCTCTGCACTATCTGAGATTGTCTCACTAGTTTTATTACCTGTCAATTGATAAATCTACAGTACAATGCAATTTGGATAGGAATGAGCACAATTAATTTTACTCCGAGTGACTTATAACCATTCTCTATATATTATTTTACAAATAGGAAAAGGATTGTCCAAACCGTGGCGTGGAGTGTCAGTATTGCGAGCTAACACTTCCTTTCAATAAAATGACTTCTCATGTAGAATACTGTGGAAGCAGAACTGAGAAATGTGACATATGTGATAGATTCATTCAAATGAAGGACTTGACTGAACATGTGAACACTGGATGTCAGTACCCTCCCGTCAAAGAAGAAAGTAAAAAGTTGCCGTCAAATCCGCCACATGACTTTTTCTCTGAAATGCCTGTTGGCATGTTGCATGCTATGGGTCTTATAGACCCTTCAGTTAGCAGTACAGATACAGACTACTTCCATCCGCTTCAAGCTGGAATGCGTGAGTTTGGACGGATTATCAACACTGGATTTGGTACTTCACCGTTTAGTGATCCACGTATGCAATATCCCGGTGGAGCAGCTTATTTTGGTGGCATTAGTACTGGAAATGGTATGATTGATGGTAGCGACGTAATTTCCCGTGGAGCAAAGAGAAGCAAAGAGTTTCCAAAACCTGAATTTGATCGGCGCATCAGTCGAGATTTTGATAAGGTTGATGATGATGAGTATACACAGGTTGTTGATGATGATGAGATGGTCGCAGCAGCAGATCAAGCCGATGAGTTTGACAATGTTAATGGCAATGTTAATGGCATGTCATCTGCAATGGTTGATGGGACTTTCCCATACATGAAATCCACATTGATGGCCGATTCAGTAAATGGTATGCATCATTCCATAAATTTGTTTACTTCTTATCTAGGTACTAACACTGATATAACACTTAGGTCAGATAACACTTAAAGTCTGCAAGTTCTGCTCTCAGACCAACATGATCAGACATGCCGGTGTGGACATGAATTAATGTTCATTGTAGTTACATGTATGTACTCAGTTTAAGCAGCTGTGAAAATAAAGCCTGAAAAAATCAGGCTTGAACAAGATTTGAACCCACAACCTCTGGGAATACCGATCTCATATTGTAATATATATTGACTTGCATTCATCATCAGCTACAGGTATATTACCAACTCACAATGTAACCAGCTCCCAGTTGACATGATAGTTCAGTTGGTAGAGCACTGCACCAATAGTTGTAGAGGTTGTGGGTTTGAATCCCATTCAAGCCTGAATTTTCAGGCTTTATTTTCAAAGCTGGTTAAGTTGTGTACATACATGTAACTGCGATGATCATTCATGTCTTTTCATACATTGTATCTCTCTCACCCCAGTTCAAATATATAATTATGATCTGTAATATATTTACTTGCATGGCCATTCTGTAACTAGTTCTCCTGGATTGCATGTTTTCCATTTAGGATAATTTTTTCAGCATTTTGCAAGTTTTCCTTTAGAACGATTTTGCTGGTTATCCATCAAATATTCAGGGTGGATTGAGAGAGGCACAGGCTTAACTCATTTAATTTAATTTCCACACAGATGCGGATAAAACACAACTGCCTTGTGAGTTCTGTGGTGATTTGTTTCCAGTGGATATCCTTATATTGCATCAGGTAACAAATGTAATGTACACAGGCAAAGTTGATACAAAACTGTTCATCAGTATTGTATAACATACAAACACTCAAAACAAGCAGTTTAAGGCCTGGGTTAGGAATTAATATTCCAAGCATGAGAGTATGCGAGTAATTGACCTTCATCTAAAACACGTTTTTGTTGGATGGTATCAATGTAAACCACCACTAATTCCTTAAATAATGGCTATTTTGTGCCAAATGTCACGTGATATGTCATGTGACCTCTCAGGAGCTCCAATTCTTCGTTAAAATGTTTAGGACTTTAAATCCTAAATGTGTGCTAAATTTGGTGTTTTTGTCATTATTTTATGTCTTCAGAAGTATAACTATTAAATTATTTTTACCAATGAAAGTCTTTGATCCAAGCCTTAAAGTACTTGAGTACTCTTTACAGGGTAGGGATCCATATTCGCAGTCGTCCAGTCATCCGTGACAACTAAAAAATCGTATGGAAAATTTGTCCTCTGGACGATTTAAGTTTGACTCTACGAGGAAAAAAACTCATGTGTTAAATTTTCTTATGAGTTCCCTGCATTCTGATCACAGAAAGAGATTTGCAGTTCTCTTTTGCAATAAACAAGCTATTGAATACGAGCAGAAAGAGCAATTAAGGGTTCCTTTAAGCCTTCATGGCAGTCTAAGAGGCCTTGGTTTTCATTTGTACCTGGATTTTACTGTGTCCCCCGACAACCACAACTACAGACATGATGTACTGCAGTGTGTGTACTGGGAGACTGGTCATGTGAAAAAAATACAAAAGTAAACTTTACATGTACATGCTGTTCTGTTGCCATTCTTCACTATTGAACAGGAAGTAAAATTTTTCCAGGGTGAATATTTCATCTGGCATACTTGCCCAGTTAATGACTTAGAGAAAAAAACAAATGAATATGGATTCCTGCAGGGTACCAGTTAAAAGAATTTAAAATTCTCAAAGATTTAACTTTGTGTTCCGTTCCTATTTTCATTTTGTTCTTCTCAGGCAACACCATTTCTATGAAGAATTTGTCACTTTCAATTTCGACCCCAGCACAACAAATTCACCTTTGATATTTATCACCATCATGTTAGAGTGTCTCAGGACAAGATTCTTTTGTTAAAGTGTATTCAGAAATTCCCCTTTGATCTTTCAACTTTGAACAAAATTGAGATCTATCATCAGGGTACATGTAGCAAATCCCAAAGATTAATTTGGTTGATATGGAAGACATTTAATAACTATTGATACTTGTTTTTCCACAGAGTGGTTGTCAGCTGAGTTCAATTGATTCACTCCCAGGCAGTGCTTCACATTTTCCTGATGACAGTGTCAAGCATAATTTGCGACGACCTAACAATTCAACTCTCTCTGTGGTGAGCAAAAAATTTTCATTTGTAACTGAGATTGAAGGAAGGTTTAAAAATTCCACTTTCAAATTCCCTTCACTGATACCAGTACAGTTCTATGTCACAAAACATGTCAAAATAAGTGGTAGCATTGATTCATCAAAGAAGTGCTGAGCAAACCATGCTGGAAACCATTGTGAACCAGCCTAACTAACATTATTAGTTTGATGTTTATCTAACAGTTCAAATGTATTTTGTTAGATTAAACATCTTACATCAGCAACACTGTTTCTTCTTACAGGACAGAAAATTCCAGACTTATCACACAGAGCTGGAAACTAAAGGTTCAGGTTTGTTATTAAGTTTGAGTTTTGTTAGTGCTGGCATGTGTTGATCCTTGAATTTTACTTCCTGTCTTAGGACGTCATACTGGAATCTGTAGGTTGTAAAGTTGTAAAGCATGTAGATTTTACTCTTCCCTTCCCCCTCCTTTTCATCCTCCCCACCCCTCCCCTGCCCTCCTCCCGTCTGTTCTACCTTCCTTCCATCCTCCCCCCTTCCTCTCTTACTCACTTCCTTTCTTCTTTCTTAACTACAAACTAACATTAACCCAATATTTATTTGTTATTATGTACTGATTTTGTCTTTGGTAGAGGATGATACATTTTTGCCTTGTGAGTTCTGCCAGGAGCTGTTTCCATTTGAGAACCTCATAGCCCATCAGGTGAGTCCAAACGGGATAACTCGTGTGATTTGATTTGATTTGAAATTGCATGGGCAATCTAGAATTCCAGTTTGTTGATTTGACAGTCTCATTGCAATGTTAAATCTTCATTGTAACAGCTATGACACAGAAGTATGTCAAGGATGTTGTTGTTTTAATTCAAGACATGGTTACAAGTTGTATGGTTTGTGAAACTGTAGCATCTTAAATGGAGGATATTACAAGGTGGTGTGAAGTTATGAATGTTATTTTTGAGAGGTAAAAACAATATTTTACGAGCGAGTGTAGGAAGTGACTAAAATATTGTTTCTATTAGAGAGAATAACATATGTATCTTCAAGCCACGGGGTAATTTTTTCTTTATTATATAGACAAACTGACTGTTTGCACAGACAACCGTGAAAAAGCGGAAAATGACGTCATTAATATCTTCACTAGTGAGGATATGGAAAATACGTTTGAAAATTGAGTAAATGTAGTCAGGAGATGACATAGTCGATAAAAGTGCCGTTGTTTGTCACTGACTTGTATATATTAGCAAGACGTTTCGGGCGCTTATATGTAGGGCGGTGAAACGAGCGGATCCGAGCAGAAAGGTGTGATGCAGTAGACTGGGGTCTACTAAAACGAGCAGATTCCGCTTGGGCCATCCCCCCTTTTTTCTCTGTTTAGCGTCGTCCGACCGACCCAGATTTTCGCGTTTTCAGGAAAAAAAATAAAGTTACACAGAAGGCAATGAAGGCAATGACACATTATTTCAAACAATTGTCACTTTAATCTGAAACATAAGCAATGTTTTGCCTTACAGATTTTCCCTGTTCTCGTTTGATTTTAACGACGACGTCGACTTTTTCCTCCCTCCATTGCCGCGATTTTGGGCAGATAATTCATGGTAGGCCACATATAATCGCCTTCCCCTTTACTCCTTAAATGCTAACCGCAAGCAAACAGCAGTAATTAAATGTTAACCGCAAGCAAACAGTAGTAAATAAATGCCAACTGCAAMTAAACACAATATTTAAATGCTAACCGCAAGCAAACGGCAGTAAATAGAAGCAAACTGCAGGGAGACTATATGGGTGGCCTACCATGAATTATATCCCCGATTTTGACTTTGTAACCACACCTTGTTGTTTCCAGGCTCCACGGATGTTATCCTGAGGTACCGGGCCTCGTAGCTCCAGACTCCTTTTCCAATTTTATTTTTGTTGTTTTTTTTCCTTTTCCGACCGACCGACCCAAAATAAGAAAACGCATTCGACAATAAACGAAAAATAAAGGGGATGGCCTTACTTACACTGGAACTTAGATTTCTAAAGAAATTCCACGAGACTCCCTTCTATATGAAGCAGCGACGTTTTTGGTGCATTTTTGTGGCAATGGGAAAAGGTTAGTTTTTCAGGTTGAAAACAGGTCTTCAAATTTCGCGCTGTAAGATCCGCTCGCGCTAGTTGTACGCGTAATCTTTTGCATCTCTTCTGACTTACGAATAAAGGTTATGCAAGTCTCTACTCTGGTATCGAGTTAATTTGTACGTTCCTCAGAACAATGCTTAATCATAACCTAAATCTGTTTTCGATCAGTTTCTTAGTTAACTGTTACTTATTGTTTCTGCTTGTTTGGCCAGCAGGAAAGTCTGACGCGAACAAGTAGCTAATTTGCATAATGCAGGGCGTGCACTTTCAAGTCCAAGTCGGTGTTTTCAATTTGTCAATATGAAATCTTGACAAAGTATTTTTTCGCCATCTTTTGTGCTAAGATGATGCGACAATTTTTGCTAACGCTAAAAGGCTACTAAGATCATGTGTGTTTCTTCGACGTAGTGAATTTTTATAATGCGAAAATGAAATAGACAAGGAGTTTTGAGAACTCAAACAACAAAATCGAAATTGTTATTCGGGTTGATTGAAGAAAGCGCTACCGTAACGTGGCTGATTTAATATCTCTGCTGTCTTCCTACATTTCCAGCTAAACTTCTAATATGATTCTCAAATATTTATCAAATCAGTCTTAAACATATTTAAAGCTAGAGATGTTGTTTGAATTCGATGTACGGTTTTACATGAAAGAGCGTAATTGAAGTCCAATTTGCCATGTTTAGCTACAAAACACGCATCGGCGGGCGCTCTTTTTCATCGACAACCAGCGATTAATTGGATTTTTACACAAACAAAACTAAGCAGTATTTACACACGAAAGTTCTTATGCCTTGATGAGGCATCACGTGTTGCTTGCAATTGAGACGAAACTCAAACTCGCAAAATTTTATTACTTTTCGGTCGCGATAGACTCTATGACGAAATCCTTGAAGTTCTTAAACGTTGCTATATCCAAATATATCAAGCTAATTTTTTGCTATGTTATGGAAAAACTGTTGATCTTTAACATATGTAAGATTTAGAGTGGAGTAATGTGGAGTTCTCGTAAAAGAAGAAGCGGAACACAATTTGGTCATGATAAGCGAGACATGCCTGCATTCGACACTGTCTTACTTCATTCAAATTTGAGCAGCTTACGATGAAAATACTTAAGTTATATTCCAACAGACAAAATAGTATTGAGGCGTGGGCCAAAAGTATAAAAACGCCTTTAAAAATACGCCACTAGAGGCTCAAAAATAAAGAGAGAAAACGTGATTTCCGGTTCGTTGAGAGGAAATTTTTGGCAGCCATTAATCGCACCGGAGGCGCGGAAGGAGCGCTCGTGCTAGTCCCTCTCCGCATCACACGTTGAACCAAGAGCGGACTGCCCGTTTCACCGCCCAGCCTTTTCCGCCCTGTCTTAAAGGCTGCCGCACACTAGCCGATTTTTTGTCGGGGTCAAATCGGGTTAAGATTTGTCAGGACATCAGCTTGCCGCACACTAGCCGATTTTTTGTCGCGACTAACCGCGTTCAGGCCAGGGGCCGAGTCATCCAAAATCAAGATGGCGCCTATTCCACTGACGTGACTCTCATGACATTTCCTAATTGGTTGAGGTGCGCGCGAGCCCCGACAAATTGTCTTGGTCCACCGCACACTAGCCGACAAGGCCCGACAAGACGTTTTGAGATCTAGCACCGTCAGATATCGCCCGACAAGCCCCGATCATGTCGCAGACTTGTCTGAATTCACCGCACATATTTATCCTATGGGATTTGTGTACGGGGTCGCGCAGCCAAGTTGTACATTGGCAAACTACTTGTTCTCCAAAAACGAACTCTTCGACTGATTTATTTTGCGCCCAGTGATGCTCATGCTATTCCTCTTTTCATTCAATCAAAGATTTTACCTGTAAATATGATCTATTTTGACGC